CCTGAACTGTCAGCACCCCACTACTGCCCTTCACTTTGCGTTTCTCAGTGAACCCCTGAACTGTCAGCACACCCACTACCGCCCTTCATCTTGGGCTGCTCAGTGAATCCTAGAGGCCAGACTTCAGCTTTCTGTGCCTCGTGATTGTTCCGGCAGTGTTTTAAAGACGAGGCTGGCTTTGGTAACCCGCCCTTGGTCCTGAGCCAGCTGAGAGCTGTGTGCTGCGTTCCCAGTGCAGATGCCCCGTATGAGCGCCCCAGTCATTTCTTTCTGTCCACGCAGCCTTTATTCCTGCCTTCAGTGTGACAGCTCCACCTGCTAACCTCCCTGCCTTCTTCCTTGAATGCCCCCACCCGGGGCTACGATGTGTGTGGTGGGCCACTCTGGGTTCTGGTTCTCACGTCCCTTCCGCTGTGGTGTCACACCTTTCTCAGCCAGCTCCTGTGGAAACAAGTGCCAGAGTTGATTTTATTTCCTCTTGAGATGAATTAAGGTGAACTCAGTCTCCTTGTTCCTTTTCTGGCCATCTTGACCGAGCCTAGCCTCAGATGAAACCTCGTGGAGTTGAAAGTTAAGAGTTGCCAGAGAATCCAGCCAAAGTCTGGGATTAAAGAAGCTACTGAGAGCCTAACCCTTGGTCCTTGCCCTGCCATCTCAGGGCGTGGCTGCGTGCTCACAAGCCCTGCCCTTAACTGTCCCCTCATTTACTGTCCTTTTCCTTCTCCAGGTTGAACGTAATTAAGAAGGTGGAAGCAGATGAAGTGGACTTTCTCCAGCACGTCACTCAGCTCGACCTGCGTGACAATAAACTTAGTGATCTCGATGCTATGATTTTCAACAACATTGAAGTTTTGCACTGTGAAAGGAATCAACTGCTGACCTTGAACATCTGTGGCTATTTCCTAAAAGCACTCTACGCCTCTTGCAATGGTATGTAGCAGAGACCACATCAAAGTTTCTTTTTTGGCTCCAAGAATTTGCCCAGAATCATCCACAGTCTTTGAATTTCCTCTCCTCCTTTTAATAAAGTAAGTGTCAAATTTTGCTGTGATAAAAGTCATAAGAGGAGGAGGTGTGATATTTAAAGGAATCAGATCAAAAAGGAAACTGTGACTCTTCAGTTGTGCTTTGCTTTTTTCTTATAAAAATAACATCATTAAATTAAGTTACTCCCTCTTCCGACTTGGCTCTCATGCTTAAAGAATGGGGGAAATGTACTGTTTTCAACTACCTTGTTAGAGCGATAAATGTGAAATCCTGATTTAAACTCTTATTTGAACGGTTAAAGAAAAGTCCAGTTTAGATTCTATTCAAAGTATCTGGTTTCAAGCTGCATTGAAAAAAGGAACTTCCCTTAAGATAAATCTGAATTATATATCCGCAAGGGTACTCTTTAGAGCAACACTCTTACTTTTTTATATTTCCTCCTGGGTATTTAGAGATTATGGTAGTTCCAAGAAAAGCCCAGCTCACTTGAACATATTTTAAGGTAAAGATCTCAATCCCTAAGTTAAAGAACGAAATGAAAACAAGTGGATGCAGATGGACAGGATTGGACAGGGTTCACATCTGTCATTCACAGGCTCTCTGTGGTCAAGGGCCTGTAATAACTACTGCGATAAGTCCAGCGGAGACTGAGCACTTGTATATAGAGAACAGTGCTTGAGCTACTTTTTAAATGATTATTTAAATGTCATCACATTGGGGAAAGTAGCCAATCCTCAAGTAACTAGTATTTAGATCTGGTGTAATGAGTTTGGCCCAGCCCTGGAGGTTGGGATCGGGTGAGGGGCACCAAGAGGCATGAAGAATCGGGGGAAACCTCAGAACGTGGGTAAAGGGGCGCACTTCTGCATGAAGATGTGCATTTAGGAGATGACAGGGAGCGATCTCCCAGAGGTGGTGTCAGAGGATGACGCATCGGACTCGTCACCAGAAAGGCAGTGGAAGCAGGTGGAGATTTTTAAGCAGGGCAAAGGGTGCTGGACGTGATACATCACAGCTGCTAACGTGAATGTCCTTACGGGAGGAGAGGGGGTTATGCACCCACAGCCCGAGAGTCTGAGTGAGTGTGTGGGTCTGAAGTGATGAGAATTTGCAGTGCAGTGGTGTGTGGGAATGGAATGGAAAAACTCTCCTGGGAAGCATTTTAGGAAGAATCAAGAAACTAAATCAGAAACGTTGTTCTTGATTTAAAGAAATAAAAGGCAGATCTGCCATCAAAAGTGGACAAACCCTTCAAGAGTTGGATGAGACCAAGGCAGGCAGCCAGATACAAGAACGAGGAGAAGGAAGGGCTGGTTTAGTGAATTACTGGTTTAGAGAGGCAGGAGGTCATCTGGCTGTCCTAGAAACCCGAAGTGTGGACGGTGGTGTCACAGTACATACAGAAAGGCTTGAGAAAGGGTAATGAGATTTGAGCAGAGAAGGCCATTTGTCTTGGGAGGAACTGTCTCAGGAGAGTGTAGGAGGCCATAAAGCCAAGATGCATTTGGTTTTACTGAAAGAACCTAGCATATTAAAAAGCTGATGTCCTTTCGGTTCATCTTCAGGCTGTCATTTAGCGTGCATGACAAGAGAAGGGCCACAAGAAGTGGATTGAAAAGAGGTAGGCAAGTGGAATGAGTCATCTATTTTAGTCTCTGAATAAGACCTTGTGATTGAATGAGAAGTTCTCTTCACTTCCTGGTGAACAAATGGATGTATTGTCCTTCCTAAACTAAGTCAACAATGGGAAATCAAGCACAGTGGAGGCCTTGGCCATACCAATGGAGTCTCTGTGTCACTTGAATAGTAATGTTTTGTTTTGGTTTTTTGTTTGTTTCTCCTAGAACTTGTTCAACTTGATGTTTACCCAGTTCCAAATTATCTGTCCTACATGGATGTTTCAAGGTAAGGGGTCAGAAAAGTCACGTAGCGCCTTAGAGTTTTGAATATTCTGTGGGTCAAACTAGAAATATCCAAATGTCACTAATTTGGAACTCTAGCTCTGGGCTAGAGTTAGAAGATCCGTTTGCTCTCCAGTTGTATTAACAGTGTTTTGGTGTCATTCCTTGAAATGATGAAAGCTCATTTTTAAAAACCATATTAGACTTTATTTCTTTGATGTTTCCCCTCCCCCCTTTATTGTTTTGTTGTATTTGTAGTCCCTGAAGCATAACCTTTAAAAAGAGCATTTATGATTGTTAGCTGGCTAGGGAAAGAACAAAATTAATTCTCTTCTTCATAGTGTAAAATTTGAAGAAAATGAGTTTCTAAAAAATGCTCATTAAGCCTGAAGGCCCTCATTTCTAAGCTTATTTGTGAGCCGGCTGATCGCCCTCCTTTCGTAGACAAATTCACCTCTAGTAGCCTGTCATGTTTATACCTCTTCCCACAAAGATAGGAGTTGTCCCCTAACTCTGACTGTAGCATTCATCTACACAAAGCAAACTTTACTAAGTTTAACACCGAATTGGAGACACTTTGAAGGCAATACGAAAGAAAATACCCCAAAATTTTTTAACTAAGTGCGGCCCCTTTGAGTTCACAACTGTTGACCCATTTCAGTATAATTTGTCATACACGGAATTTATCTTTTGTCATGAACATATAGTTATTTTAATGATATACTCAATCATAATTGTATATGAATTTGCCAGTATTTTTTAAACTAAGATTTAAATTTCGTTACTTTTAATTACAAAATCTTTTAAGAATTGCATATCAGACACTTCCCACTAAATATGTGCAAGACAGTTGATTTTTTTAAATTTCATCAAATGACCTAGTCAAGTTGCCCTACTTTTTTCCCCTATCAGTCTGTGTATTATTATTTCTATCTTTTTAATAAGAACAGTACCAGGATGGGTTTTACATACATGGGTGCACAGAAATATCATGAACAGATGTACTTCAGGCTTGGCAACAGAGTGGAACTATTTTTCTTATAATCAGCAAAAGATTCCTCTTGAAACCCCTGAGTGAGACCAAACGGGACGCTCTTACATCAGGCGTGTCCTGAAGTCTGCCGCTTAATTGCTGTTGTCTTGCTTGGTAATTGTTTCTCAGGCTGCCTGCTCCCAGGCCCTGGGACTTTGGGAGTCCCCTGAGAGCCCTCATGTGACTCTGTTTCACCCTCCTCTTACTGTATATGTGCATTTCTAGTTTTATCAGGACTCAACTGTCACCGGTCAACATGCTTGCAGAGTCTTTTAAATAACGTCCAAACCCAGATGCCGTGCAGTCAGTCCCGCCTGGCAGAAGAGAGTTACAGTACAACCACAGCTTTCCAAGGCTGTGACTTTCATAGAAACAGAGAGGCAGGCTACCTCACTTTTCTCCAAATGAATGGCTGGTGGGTTTGAACCAGTGACCTTTTGGTTAGTAGCCTGTTCTTAATCATTGATACTCTGAGACCCCTTATTTGTTGTCAGGGGCCCCTGAGCCAACTACAACTCATAGTGGCCCTGTAAACACTAGATTTGAACCTTGCCTGACACACTGCGATCTTCACTGTTTCTGATGTACTCACACCCACTGTTACAGTCATTCTGTCAGTCTATTTTTAAGAAGAAAATCTTTATGAACGAAGCTACATAAGACAGTCGGTCCAGACTCCCAGCTGATCCTCTGTCAGGTTTCTGAGGCTGTAACTCTCACAGGAGGAACTGATCTTTCTTCTGAGCTGCTGCTGGTGGGTACGAGCTGCCAGAGAGGGGCCTCCTTGGGGTCGGCATCATAACTGCCCGTGGACCCCACCACCAGAGCTCCCTACCACGTCTTCAGAGTCTCAAAGTCAAAGGTTCTGGTGATTCTTCACTTACAGATGTTTGAATTCTCTTCTTTTCAGGTTCCTTACACTGAAGGGTAATTTCGCCCCAGTCTGTCTTGAGATCATCAGAGCTGGACCCATGTCTGCTTGTATAAATACTAAGCAGAAAGTCATGCCTTCTATTTCTATTTTTTAATAGAAAAATGGATAGAATATCACACTTTAAGAACATGAGTTTTAAATAAAACATAGTTCTGCCTCACACAGACATTACACTTCGTTGTCATCTGCTCCAGCTTGGTCTAATTCTTGTCCCAAGTGGTATATGTTTTTAAACAATATACAAGAACTAAACCATGCTGGAGCAAAATGACAAATAGTGTTTATATGGCAGAATTATGTTTTTATTCAAAACTTAAGTTCCCTAAGTGTGTTATGTTATCAGTTTTTCCATTAAAACACCTTGGTGGCTTAGTGGTAAGAAGTTACTCTGCCAAGCCACAGGGGAAAGTTCGAATCCACCAGCTGCTCCATGGGAGAAATACGGACAGCTCCTCCGTGCAGTTTAAAGCCCCTGAAAACCTGCTGGAGAGTGAGCTGTGTGAGTCAGTTCTGACTCGACAGCACAGAGCAGCACCAATCATGATACACGTACCATTGTAGATAATCTGAACTTGACATCTTTTGATTGCTTCCCATATTTTGAAATGATCATAAGAGACTCTAATACAGTAAGTTTGTCTAAGTTTACTACTTACTCAATTTACACTTAAAGTCACTATGTTTTTGTTCACTTGTGTCTGGTAATTATAATTACCGTCTAACGGCCACGTAAATAGTTTCAGCTATCCAATCTTGAATATTTGGAAAACATCCATTAGAAACCCAGTGAATAGTTCTCCTTTGACATTTATTGGTCTCCAGGATTTGGAATCAACTTGACCATGACTTTTTATTAAAAAAATTGTCTTTGTACCTCTTCATATTCTTATTTATGATGGCACTGCTTTCATGAAATCAGTTAAAATTTTTGTTGTTGTTGTTATGTGCCATTGAGTCGCTTGTGACTCATAGCAACCCTATGTACAACAGCCCTAAACTCTGCTCTATCCTGTGCCAATCACACTGTCTCTGACACTCCCATCCCGATTATCCCAGTCACTGAATCAATCCACCTCATAGAGGGCCTTCCCCTCCTGCACCGTCCCTCTACCCGACCAAGCATGATGTCCCTCTCCAAGGACCTGTCGGTTTTAATGTCCAGAGTGAAATGGCAGATTTAAAAATAAAACTTTATTGTGCTACTTGGCTATTAACTGGCATGTGTTACGTAAACATATGTGTGTGTATAGGGCATCTTCCCTTACCCTCAATGAGATGGACTGACTCTGACTGTAGCCTTGGGCTCGTGTGTATCAGACAGTGGGGATGGTGTAAGATTAGGAAGGGTTCAGGTCTGTCATTCACAAGGTCGTTATGAGTCACAGTCAACTCGATGGCACCTAACAATAACCTTTAACTGTGTTTGCGGTTAAACATTTTAGGTCAGGGGTCCTGGGTTTTCTACTTTAGAGAGAATTTAGAGAGAATGTAGGTGATGTAACGAATACCCCACCCTTCATCTTCTTTATTTCTTTTCCCATATCATACTTCATCTAACTTCCAGTTGAAGATGAACACACGTGCCCTTTTGATTTATGATGACTCTGATTTGGCTTGTCACGTTACAATTTATTTATTCTTTGTAGTTATTTTTAGAACCACCCCTAAGACAGTTTCCTTTTTTTTTTTTAACAAGTTTTTCTCTTCTCCAGGAACCACTTAGAGAACGTGCCTGAGTGGGTGTGTGAGAGCCGGAAGCTGGAGGTTTTGGATATTGGCCATAATCAAATATGTGAGCTCCCTGCACGGTGAGTATTGCCCATCAAGGGACTGAGTCTCAAATGAGTTAATTTAAAAAAAAAATAAATAAATACTGATTCCATGTTTAACTTGTTCCGGTGAACCACCACAGTTTGTTTAAAAACAGTCGTTAGTGTCTTCCTTCCTGTGTTCCTTTCACGATACAAGGTCCTTTCATGCCCTGGGACACAGAGTGAGGCTGTGACTCTTGGCCAGGCAGGGCCAGTGCCTGTCGACATGGTCACAGACTTGACACATAATGTGATAGGCTCACTTCGGGAATCTTAGTTGTTTCTGAATCTGCCACTTGTATCCATTGACTCTCAGATCCTTTGAATCTTTTCCCTCAAACTTAACCTTGGAAAGGACTATTTATTATAACCATTAGATTTCTAAAAAAAAGAAGCTAGATTCTTTTTTCTTATTGGAAACTTTGGAATCACAGGGCTTACCACTTTGATTTCTTTCTCTTATTGCTATAATGAGATAGATTAACACAGTGGCTGTGACAGTGGGGCAGGTGTGTCGGGGTGATGAGATTGGCTCGGCATAGGACAGGGCTCAGGGCTGTTCGCAGGGTCACTTTGAGTCATAGTCAACACAGCAGTCTACAACAACAGCATGGATGCTTTTATTATTTTTTAACATCATAATTTTTAACTGTTGTGTTCCATAGTCATGGAATGTAGTTTCCAATTTCCACAGATACAGAGAAGGATCTTACTTTTTAGGTTACTCGTGGTGGTTGTGTCCTGTCAAGTCGGAACCGACCCACAGCTGACCCTCTGGCTGGTTTCCAGAGGCAGTGAGTGACTCACACGGAGGAGATAGAACAAGGTGCAGTTGACTCTTGGTGGCCAGGCCTGAGGGAGCTCTGGTAGGATAATTTATGAGTGGTTGCCTGGCTAGCCCAACGGCAGCACTTATGTGGCCGTTCGAATCAGCCATTCACCCCTGAAGAAAGATGGGTTGTCTTTTCTCATGATGTTAGCAGCCTTGGAAACACACTGGGGCTCAGCTGTGAGTTAGGAGAGACTGAATGGCAGTGATTTGGGGTTTTGACTGTACCCTTAATTACCACAAGAACATTCATCTCAGTGCTGTCCTGTAGAACTATCTGTGAAGATGGCCCATTATGGTATATGCTGGCCGTCCGTCCCTTTTAGTTACTTTAAACAAGGCTAGTATGGCTGAAGAACTCAATTCCATACTTAAATGGATGATTAAATAGTCGGTTATGGCTGATTGCTACCGTTTTCGGCAGCTCAAGTCTACTCTTTCCACTGTCTGCAGCCAATCATCGCATAGCAAGAAGTCCACTGATTTGCCTAGCTGTATGCAGCCAGATGCATCCAATTCATTGTACTGTAAAAATATATTTACATTTCAGAATCAGTCTTTTCTTTTGAGGCATGATTCTTACAGCTATGTGATCTGTATTTTTCTATTATAAAGAACAATAATCATGACATACCCATATGTGGGTAGCTTGGCACATGTGTAAGAGTTCTGTCCAGTATGGTAGCCCCCAGCCACATGGGGCTATCGAGATCTAGAAATAGGACCATCCTAACTGAGACTTACTTTAAGTATAAAATGCATACTGGAGACAAATATCTCATTGTTGTTGTTGTTGTTATGTGCCATCGAGACACCTGTGACTCATAGTGACCCTAAGTACAACAGCCCTAAACCTGATCTATCCTGTGCCAATCTCGATGTCTTTGACACACCTACCCCATTACCCCAGTCACTGAATCAATCCATCTCATCGAGGGTCTTTCTCTCCTATGCTGTTCCTCCATCCTCCCAAGCATGACGTCCCTCTCCAAGGACTGATCCCTCCTTGCAACATGTCCAAAGTATGTCAGATGAAGCTTCAGAATCCTTGCCTCTAAGGAGCATTCTGGTTTCACCCACTCCAGGACAAACCTGTTTGTTCTCTTAGCAGCCCATGGTATATTCAGTAATCTTCTCCAGCACCACAGTTCAAAGATGTCAATTCTCCTTTTATCATCTCTAGTCATTCTCCAGCTCTCTGATGCATAGTAAGCAATTGCAAAGACCATGGCATGTATCATTAGCAGTCTTTTATGTTAATTGAATGATAAAGTGATAATATTTGAGAAATATTGGGTTAAAATAGCCTATAAAAGTTAATCCACCAGTTTTATCTTACGTTGTTTTAATGTAACTGCCAAAACACTTTAAATCGCATATGGGCCTTACATTTTAATTCTGTTTAGGGGCAGTTTGTCCAATAAACAAAGTAAGCAAAAGCTTATTGTGTTTAATTACTAATCTGTAGTAAATGTTTGTGGTGAACTAATTGATCACTACAATTAGTAAGTCAGTTAATACTCACCTTATTTATTGGTACTCTGTCCCCGTCAGAGCTTGTACATCTGAAAAAAGACTCGACTTCTGAAAGCAGGTGCTTTCGGGCTGTGAGAGAAACACAGGCCAGTCCTCCCTAGGGGCACAGAGGCTGATGTGAAAATGGGGATTTACTACAGATTAGTAGATGATCACATGTAAACTCATGCTTACCTGGCTTATTGGATAATCTGACTTTGTTTGTAGTGGATTAATATAACAATCTAATATCTGTATTAGAATACAGCTGTTATAAAAGAAATCAGAGTTAAATGCCCAGAGGGACTCAGAACTTTGTCACTGAGCCTTTCTGATCACAGCCGCCTCCCATTGGTTCCTCAGGCTGTGAGTTGCCTGGGACGGAGGAGGCAGCTGTCCTACCTTCCTGAGGCCCCTGGATTCCACACTCACGGGAACTCCCCAGGTCCTAGGAAGACTTCTCTAATTTCACTTACTTCCTTAGCTGCACATTGTACCTATAAATTTCATCACCCATTTGAAAATACTCTCTGACATGGAGTGTTGTGTTATTTAGACTAATAGACCCAGAACACCTATTAGCATTTTCCAGAGAGAGATTTTGGAAATGTACCCTGTGGAATACGAGTGTGTGTGGGGGGGTGTGGATGAGAGAGAGAGAAAGTGTGTGTGTGTGTGTGTGTGTGTGTGTGTGTGTGTGTGTGTACGCACACGTGCACATGCAAGTCTGCCTCCCTGTCTATATGCATCTCTGTTTGCTCACCCATGTGTCCATCCCTTTTAGAAAATCAACCACAGTGCAAATAGGCTACTCCTGATGTAAATTTAAAAGTTGCAGAAAAGCTTCACCTTATCTTTCCTGCTTTTTTATCTCTACCCCCTTTCTAACTGCCCCTGCACACGTACCCCCCTCCCCTTAGTCACTAAAGGATTTGTGAACTGGTCAGTAAGACTGTACCAACCTCAAGAAAAATGGAGTGTGTTGAACTCTGGCATCTCATGTTAAATTTTTGTGTGACAAATGGCGTCTTTTATGGGTACCTGCCTCTCAAACCAACAGATAGCACTGTGAGATGAACTATTCTTTTTTCCCTAATAGGCTATTGAAAAGGTATTCTGTATACAAACAGTTAAACAAATGCAAGGTGACTGATTTTTACCTGGTTTCCCTCAAAGTTAATCAATCTTAGATTTGCCATGCACTTCTTACAGGCTTTTTAAAAAAAAAAAAAGAAAGAAAGAAAGAAAAAGAAAAATCCAAACAAATACTTATTCAAAGCAAACCCCAAATGCTCTATTGTCAAAGAATGAAACATTCTTTCTGTCTGTGTACTCATGTTGTGTTTTTAACAGATGAAAGTGTGCATTGTTTTCTCTTTTCTGGGGCTGATTAGTTGCACACTGTTTGTATCAGCCCTCTCATCATGTAATACTCAGGCAAGGCAGAGATTCATTAGAGAATAATTTAATAATCAAGCTTTGTTTATCTAAATAAGGTAAGTGAAGGCTTTGATAAAGCAGAAATGGATATTTGGCAGTGGAAATAAGCTAAAAGGAAAAGAAAATATTGAGATGCTTAGATTGTATTCAGGAGAGCTGAACTAAATCCTGTGATAATACACATTTAATATTCTTCCTGGAGCTTAACCGATCTAGTTTCTATCAGGAAAAATCAAGATAAGGATTTATATCTATCCTCTAGTTATCTTGTATTAAAGAAAAAATAAATGAGAAAATAACAGGTAACCCCATGCCACCGAGTATGAATCCGAAAGCATACCTCAGGCCCAGCAAGATCTTAAAACGATTACATGAATCCTGAATTATTGAACTGATATTACAAAGCCCCGAGCGCCCATCATAACCGACTGAATGGCCTCTCTGGAACATCTCTCTGTCCCCATTGATATCTCAACCTGACATTAGAAATTTGATTTTGTTCCTCAAAACTATGATGCCAAATTCTGACCTCTATGTCTGTGCTTATAATCTCATTTGAAAATGGATTTTTCCTTGTTCTGTAAATGAGGCAGGATTAATATAAGATGTATCTTGAATTGATCTCATTTGAAATATAAGACGTTCAGTAAGCGAGAAGGACAGAGGTGTGGGAAGAGCGCTCAGACTGCTTGAAGACTGCCTAGAAGCCCAAGTTCAGGAGAGGCCTAGGCCTCCCCCCGAGAGCCTGCGCAGAAATCCTTCCCCTAGAGCAGGCACCCGGAAGTCAGCTTCTCGCCTCCTCAGCTGTGAGGATGTGGGTTGACACAGTGCCTGTGACAGTGAATTTAGGTTCATCAGGGAAGGTGAGGATGGCGCAGGACAGGGCAGGGTTCAGAGATGCTGTTCCCAGGAACACCAGAGTCACTGGAGTCATACTCAAGGGCATGTAACAACAACTGCTGAGAGAAAATGAATTCTTTTTGTTAAAGCCACTCACTGTGGTCATTGTGTTATAGCAGCACTAGGGAACTGAAGTATTTGGTACCAGAAGAGTATAGGGTTCTGATCTAACAGATACCTAAAATGTGGAAACAGTTTAGAATTCAAGACTGAAAGGGTTTTTGGTTTTGGGGTTTTTTTTTTTAAAAAACAAAATTATTATTTTGTGTGTGTGTACCGTCAAATCAGATCTGACTGGTACAGAAGGAGATTGCTCCTCCTTCTCCAGCAAAGCATCTGGTGGATTTGAACTGTTTACCTCTGGGATTGCAGTGCAGCTTCCTGCCACTAGGCCCCCAGAGCTCCCCTAAGGCTGAAAGGGTTTTAAAGCTAAGGAGTAAATGCTTGGCTTGTCTTGAAGAGACTACTGATAGGATTGTGGACACCCAGGCGTTTATGACGAAGGCTCTGAAGGAAATGAGGAGAGCTCTCGAGAAAGTCACATTGTCGTGGAGAATGCACACGGTACCAGTAAGAGGGTGTTGCTAAGAAAATACTAAAATGTGCACAAGAGTCCACAATTAAGGTTGCATAGTGGAATGTA